ATGCAATGCTATGGACTGGATATTTATGTTTAAACAGATCTCAGTGAAATTTATATTTTAATGGACATTAACATTAGCAATCCACGTGTCTTTACTCTCAGTTTACTAGTAGCATTTGCAATTCATGAAGTTCACAAACAAGTTGCTCTGCAGAAGTTCTAATACTTGGGGATTTTATCCTTTCCTGTTGTGTAGGTCCAGAGCTGGAATGAGCTGTCAGCAGCCATGCATCATTAAGCTACTGCAGCTGTTCTTATCATTTTCCTGTTTGAAAAAACCTGAATCAACCTAACACAAAGATTATCAACACTAGTTCTTTAGAAATGCAAACACCAAGTTCCTAGATTTGTTGAAATATAAGTATTTATACTTCTTCTAAATGAGTGATTTTTTTTATTGGTCATTGTTTTTCTCCATGAATTTAGAGTTTGTGCTTAAAAGGTGATTGGTTTAATTGTTAAGTTTCAGTCTTTTAAAGAAACTGAACTTCATGTTATCACCAAAACTGACTCTTGTTCTTCTGTATTTAATATCTAATGTCCAGTGCCCAGCCCTCTGCTGTCACTTCAGAGTTATTGAGAATGTGCATGACACTTGAGTGCATGACTGTAGGACAGAGGGCCAAACACATTTGCCATGTGAGCCACACACCATAATCAGAGGCCTACTGGAAACAAAATTTTTGGAGACTTCAGACAACCAAAAGCTCCAGGAATGGCTGAAAAAGGGTGCCTTTGAGACTGTTTTCCACTACTTCATTGTAGTAGCAGGGCATAGGCTGTGCACTGAGATTGCAAGTGAACCCTATAATATAAGCATTAATTTTTTTCCCCACTGCTGATGATTCAAATAAGTGACTAGAAAAACTCTTTTGTTCATAGCTCTGACATGGGGACCAGAATGTAGGGACTTGGTAGACAGAGGCAGCCAAGACTCTTAGACTGGTCCTTGCTGTGCTAGGTATTTATGTGTCCAGGCCAGAGCATCAGTATAGCAGGTGATCAAGCCCTAAATGAGAAATAAAACCATTCTGAGTTTTCAGAGTTAGTATCATATTGGAATTGTCCTTGTTCAATTCCTTACTGAGCTCTTGTTAGAAATATACATATAAATTATAGAAGAATGGAAAATATTCAAAATACCTTAGCATGTAAAGAAGCAAGGAGGAAAGATTACTGTGCTTCCTTTTCAAAGCTAAAAACATCACAAAGTAGTCTAGGAATCAGATCCCTACTTATGCTTCAAATAAGATACTTCATGCTGACAAGTGCTCTTAAATTTTGTGACCTATGAGTTTCTACCAGCATAATACTCTCTTTCTGATTCATAATTCACTGTTATCATCAGGTTTCCATAAAAAGAGTTTTGAGACTATAATTCCCAGCAGTTTACCATAACCACGTATGGTTTGTAGGCTACTTCTTGGGAGCTGGTAATTCAGGAACCCAGAGTGCCTGTCATACAAAACACCCTCACAACATGTTTATTAGCAATCACAACACACAAGTTAGAGTCTGAACACACACTGAAACTCTGCCATGGTATTTTCACTTATGGGGAAAATGCTGCAAATTAGTGGTGAGTCAAAACAGTGGGAAGCTTAAATCATCACTGATAAAGCTACACCCGTTTTTAAAAAAAGAGAGTGATGCATATAAAATATAATGTAATAGGCTCTCAATTCTCAAAGATACTAGAAGGACACACAGGTGCATATGTCTGTACAATACAGAGAAGAAAGCCTGCAATATGCTTTCCTCCTTCACCAATATTATACAAGCTAGGCACTGGAAGTGCACTCTGTTTTACCTGGATGAAATCACACAGATTTAAGCAGAATATTATTACACCATTGAAACTGTGAGTCCAGGTCAGCCTAGATCCTTACTCTTATTGGAAATTTTAAATTCTGATTATTTTGTATGGATAAAGACAATGCAATGAAAAAAATGCAAATTCTTGCTAAGCAAACAGACATGTTTTGTAAATAAATAGCAAATGAAAACTTGCAAGTTATTTGGATTACTGAAAATGTTTTTGCAACTGATACTTGCCACTCATGAAACAGAATGTCAGCACTAACTGTTGTTAGCAATGTTTTATGGATAAGACCAGAGTTTATGACAGAGCAGTTCTACCCAACGAAATTTGCTTTAAGAACATTTATGCATCCCTGTAGCTCAAGACAAACAAAGGTGTATTTTAGTTAGCTAGATGTAGCTAAATGCCCACAGAACTTGAAGTTGATTCAATAAATTGTAACTTTTTCATGGAAAGAATGCAGTGTTTCAAGAATGATAAGGTTTGATAAGGTACTCAATTCTCTTTTCTGAGACACACTGAATCCTTGCCTGGCTGTACTTTCAGGTGCTGTTTTTAGGAAGGTGTAGGATAAAAGTAATGTTTTGTCAGTATTATACTGGTTTTGCCACCTATGTATTTTGATTTTTAAAAAACTCTTAAACTTTTTGATTTATCGTAGTGTTAAGGAGGAGAAGGCAAGATCCTTCTATAAAGAAAAAGATAGGGCATTGTGTGAGACAATGGGGGTAAGGAGTATGGTAAGACAAAAGAAGTGGAAAAGCTCTCCAGGAAAGGGATTGGCTACTTTTAAGCAGCAGAATAAAGGTTTTGGTCTTGTGCGTTGATCTTGAACTAAAGCTGCTGCAGTGGGACATCTTACTTCCTCCCTATCAGATGGAAAGATAGATTATTGTGGACATCCTATGTAATTTCTCCATAGTCTCTTTATTTGCACTTTCTCAAAAATTTTGGGAGAATTTGAAAAATAATCCTTTTCACTGAAGTTTTCTCATATCTTCTCTTTTAAATATTTTCTCTCTATTGCTATAGGAACATTGGGACCTTTGGTTCTTAAAAATACACTAGCTTTGCTCCTTATCTTTGCTCATACTTCTTGATTCTGAGATAAAATTTATAGTGTTCCATTTGTCCCAGTTTTGTACAAGAAAATTTTCCCTGTGAAGGATATAGGTGCATAAAATTTTGTGTATGAAGAATTGGGTAGAAATCTTCTTGAAAAAAATAATGATTCTTTTACATTCTGAGGTTGAATTCTGAGCTTTGATTAACCTTGTTAATATTTTTTTTTTAACCATGGGTATTGTGAAGAACTCTCAGATTTTGAAGGTATTTACTCTTTATGGCACTGATCCTCTAAGGTTTTCTTTGGGAATAATTATTTGATCTGTAGAGGATTTCACCAGAAAGTATCATAGTTATTGTTAAACAAGAATAAACAAGGACAAACATGGATAATAACACTACCAACATATACAATCAGTCTTTTGTCAGACAGTACATTAAGTATTTCCACAACAAACACAGCTGAAATCTTCACACTGGTTAATAATTAGGCTTCCTTCAAAAAGTAATTCATTAATACAATAGGTACCAAATCCCAGTTCAACTTAATTTCACTGACTTTTGGACTAAAAGCATTAAGCTTAAACTAGCTTAAAATGTACAAAATGTGCATTCAATTAAAGAGTAATTAGATACTCAATCACCCTTACATCACACTAGGGATTATCCAAGAAAGAAGATAGGTACTATTCACTGCAGTGTGTAAAACAATTTTCTTAATTAGTTTAAGCACTAATTGAGATTGAGGAAGCGTCACTGTGTTACAGCATTAGTTTACCTAAATGGAACCTTAAAAACACAAAGGTTTTGGGTTCTTTTGAATTTTCTCACTTGGATTGTTCAGTTCTATTCACTGATCCAGTACCTCTGGCCACAAAAATGGAAACTTTCTATTCAGTTCAGATTGGTTGGTCCCTGCACCCTTGTACCAGTAGTCCATTGAAAAACATGCCAAGATTTTTTTTGCAGAGATGGAGAAGAACTTATTATTTCTTGGTTGTCGTTTTGGGCTTTTTTTATGTTACACCTCTATACCAAGCCCCAGGAAGAGCTGGGAATCCTCTGTGCTGCTAGGTGGAGTGTAAAACCCTTACACTGCTTACAGGCTTCCTTAGGAGGCAGCTGGTGGAAAGCTCTTCAAGGGGACCATCAAACGGTGCTGCTGCCAGACAGCGTGGCTTTGGGGGGATACTGAGTGATAACCGGGGGTATGTGGAAATCACAACACACATGGTCTTGTGGTAGGCACTGACTTCTTGGCAGCACTGCTGGTTACTGACAACCTCTGCGCTCCCTTCCCCTGTCAGGACCAGAGCAGGAATTCCCTGGAATGAGTTGACTCTTCGTGCAAGCAGTTGTAGCCCCAGGTGACCATTTGCACATGAGCACTTTCAGATTGTTTGTGTGTACACACTGAGCTATTGTTAGCACTATAATAACCTCAGGGCAAAAAAAGGAGATTGTTATTACAACAGAATGAAGCAGTCAGACACTCTCATACCCACTGCTTCTGAACTGAGAGCACTCGGGCAACCTGAGCACCTGGATTCTTAAGGTTATGCCAAAGCAGATGAATATGTGTTTGCATGAAATCAAGTATTGGTTATGCTGCTAATAAATATATTACTGCTGTTAGGAGAAATTGAGTGATCACTTTCTATCCTTTGAGCCCACCTGACTCCCATGAGAGCTGGTATTCAGCACTTCACTTAGTAAGGCCCCTAAAATAGTAAACGATGAAAAGTTCTCTGTGTCCAGTATATTTTTCTTTTTAGTTTACTTCCATGGGCACCAGGTTATAATCAATTACCAGACTGATTCAGAAAGCCAGTTCTAAAACTTTGTTTCAAATTAATAATTTTACCACTGCATTTAACTTTGTATTTTTACTGCCATTTCCTCCATTGCTAGTAAATCTTGCAGCACTGGCTTTACCCTAAAGGAAAAGAATCAGTACCATTATGCCACTGAAGTATATACCCTGAAACTGCTCCCACCTGCTGTCATGAAATCCCAGCTTTTAGTTTTCCCTGTCTTCCTGGCTGGATATAAACAGTCTTTCAGACCCACTGTGGAGGAATTTCAGTAACATAATTGTTCCATTCTCTTTTCAGAGGGGGGAAGACAATGCTCCCACAGTGCCCGCAGATGAGAAATGGAAACTTTTGAGACTGCTGCTTCAGTTGAACCACAAAGCCTGTATTGTTTGTCTTCATCTAATTCAACCTTGATAGACAGCTGTGACAGTTGGTCTGTCCACATGGTCCAGTGAAATTCTGGGAATGGGCTGTACATTAAAAGAAGAAAACATATTAAATCTTTCAATTCACACTGTTAACTATTTTTGAATTGTTGTTATCGTTGTTTTATAGCTACTTTGGCATAGCATTCAATAGTCATCTGTGATCCAAATAGTACTGATTTTAAGCTTGGTATGAATGCTAATATCTAGAAATACCCATTATTGTTTTGAATGCTATATTTGCTTTTATTCCATATCATCTCTTGTGCTGTCAGTAACCATATTTTCTGTAGAGGGGAGATGCATTCTACAAAGGTAATAAAACCATTGTTTGTTCACAAGAGCATTATACAAATTCAAAATTAATTTTTTGGCAGAAAGCAGCACTTCTCTGCTAAACATATGCACTTGACATGATTTATCTGAATAAAGCTGAACGACATTTGCATTACTAGGAACCTTACTGAAAAGAAAGACAATTTGGAACTGAGTAAAATTAACCAATATAACAATAAACAAAATTGTCTGGATTATTTTCTACTTGGTGAGCCATGGAACTTTGCGATGTAGTGTTCAATTGAGGCAGAAAATTTTCAGCCTTTGTTCTCCTGTGAATTATGACAGTTCTGTTTGTTTTGTGCATTGCTGAGGATGGTGGTCTGGGGACTTACTCTGCATGTCCTGAACTTGCTGCACAGCATGGGGATTGCCACGCTGGGCCACACATGACTTATCTGACACAGAAGATAAGGAAAGGGTAGTCTGAATCAGCTAGTCAGCCTCATAGCTTCTAATTCCTGAAACACCAATAAAACACCAAGATCTGAAGGACAGAGTCACTAATGTGGGAGGCAATAACTTTGATCACCGTAGCTATTAGTGAGGTCCCCTCTCCTAGCATGAGGGACATTGCAGAGATCTGTGTCAGTGGAAGAGGCACAGATGGCAACTTCCAGTGTGGGGCACAATGAAGATGCAAACTGAGGGCTCACAAAGGGGAGGCCACTCCCTTGGGGCAGATCAATCATCACTCACAAAGTCATTCCCAGGCAATGGTAAATGCAGAGTCAGAAGGCACCCTTAATCCACCTTGTCAAGGGTTATGGGGAGAGCTACTGCTGAATAATGAGTTACGAGCTCTGTGAGTATTTTATGTGTATATTAGGGGCAGCAGAAACAACAGGGCAGACCAACACAGTGCATGTGAGCAGGGTGTGGGGGACCAGATACTGCTGATCACTTGATGTCTTTGTAACTGGGTGTTCTGCAGAAATATGTGCTTCCTTTGGAGATGAGTCTTGGTGCATTGCAATAAATACACAGAAAATGTAAAGCAAGCAGCCCACCAAGAGGTCATTCTTCATTTGGGCTTAGCAGAGTAACAATCAGCATATTGTTCCTTGGGCTTAGAGAAATTTATATTTCTTAGGGTTATCTCCATCTCCTGCCCGCATTTAATGAAGTAAAAACCCATGATCTATACAATGGATTCAAGATTTCAGTGCTGACCAAAACACTTTCCATCTGCAGTGTCTGCAATATGTGTGTGTAGCATCTTCACTGGCTACTGCCCTTCTTCCTTCAGCAGTTACTCCCCAAGCAGCTGCAGCCAGACCCCAACCCCAACACCTGATTACTAGACCCTGGCTTCCCACTGATTTGCATCATACCACAGGGCAGGAGAAGTCTCTGCTGCAATGGCCTGGCTGGACTGTCTGCAGTTTTTGACAGGAGCCTGATAATTTGTCTTAGTTGTCAGGTTCGGTACTAAAATCTTGGGAAAATAAACCAAAAATCTGTGAGTCAGCTGTTTTCTGCCAGGTGAAGGTCTGTTCTTGTCTCGTTACACCCAGCAAGGAATGAGCCATCCAAAAGTCTAGTGACCCATGTTGCTAACCTGACAGTTCTCAAGTTATATGCACAGCTCATTCAGATCTTCTCCCTTTGCATACAATATACTATGAACTACTGAGTGTTAACTGACAGGAACTGTAGTAGTAATATGGCAAATATTGACATTATGATGAAATCTGAACTAGATTTATTCTCTAAATAAACATGTTCCTTATCTTAGAGCTGGCTGATATTCTTGTGGCTGTGAAATACAGATATATTGCAAAGCAAATGATGTAATGTCTCCACCAAAAAATCCATTATTTCCCTTTCCTGTGCTCCCTTCCTGTGTTTGCTGTTCTTTCAAGCATTGCCTTGTGCAGTGAAATTCTAGTCATATAAATACTACTGAGGAATTGAAGTTAGTAAATTTGTCTCAACACTTGTCAGACTTTTTTTTTTCCTAGGCTTGGCTTTGAAAGAAAAATAAAACCCACTGGTAAAAATACTTAGAGCAGTTTTGTGTCTTAAGAACTGGATCTAATTATAACAACAAATTCATTCACAAAACACACCCATTACAGATTGGTCAACCCACATTCATTGTGTGTTGGGTAAAGTTAAATTAGTCTTTCTGGTTTTGGTAGGAATCCACGTGGAGGAATTTTGAGGAAGGGCTCTTGGTGTATTATTTCAGTTACACTGCATCCATCAGAGGTTTTATTGAGTGTGGAAAGGCTCTGCTGCTCTCCAGTTGATGTTCCACAGACCTACCTTTGTATTAATATTTTTAAAAAATCATAAAAACTGATAAGAGGGTTCTGAGATTAGTGTAAGTCTATAAATTAATAATTTCCTCTTCAAGACTTCAGCTACTAAAATTTTGAATCAGTTTGCTCTCTGGAAGCATTTTTAAAGGTAAATGTTAAAGGACATAATGCTTCACATCATTTTAGAGATTTATTAGAAATGTGCATTATAAGTTTCCAAGAGATGTTGAGCAGTTGCACACTTGCTGATCACGAAAACAATGACATAATACTTAAAAGCAACTTTGTGCTTCATCAGGCAAAAGCTGGCTCCACAGGCTTCTGAAAAACTGTAGGAAGGCATTGGGAATAGGAGGAAATCTGGCTCTTGAGAGAAGGAGGGTGAATTGGGGCAGATGCCTGCTGTCAGTGATCATCCATCTGCAGGTGATGTGTTCTTCAGTTTCCTCTGTAGTTTTCTGGAGCTCTCAGAAAAATTTAGAGCCTTTAAACTCTTAGTTTGACTGCAAACCTTGGTATGATGTTCTTTGCACTTTGGGCTGTGATTCTGGGCTTCCACTAATTCAAATTAGAGGAGCTTCTTAGAAAACACTTTGCCACCCTAAAGCTGCCTTTTGCCCTGCCTCCCACCTTTTCTTTGTGTGAAAATTAAGTCATAGGTAGGTAGACCAGTAAATTCTAGGCCTGATCCCAAAATATACCTGGGAGATAAACAGGAAAAAATTGATGTGGTTTAAAGGATAGGCTTGATTCCAGACATTACACTGGCAAACGTGGGGTAGTGGCTGTGTGTGGAAACAGATGTGAGGTAGAACATGAGTCTAAGAGGAAATAAGAGTGATCCCCAGCATCCTGGTTTGCATCCTAAAGGTTGACTCATCTGTGTTCCTGACACTCAGAGGATAATTGAAGACTACTGTTGCTGAGGAGATAAAAGTGCTTAACAGCAAGAAAACATAAAGAAAAAACAATTTTACTGAGAAATTTCTGCTGAATTTTGCTGAGATTGCAGAAGATACAAGGAGAGGAGATCCATGCACATGCAGCTTCACAAGAAGTCACACCAATCAGCATTTTCCAGACCCGGCCAGGGTGCAGCTACCATAAAAGCACAGACTCACCTTCATTGAGTTTGAGTGGTGGGCACAGCACTTGGTGCAGTGATGGTCTTGGACAAACTGTTCCTTTCATGGTGGTCACATCCATTCCAATGAGAATGAAAGGAGGCTTCCTTTCTTTAGAAATGGGGGACTCTCAAGGGGGAATGATGATGGCTGTAGAGAAAAAAGGGAAAACTTTCTAGGTGTTGAGAACTGTGGAAGGGTGCAGATTTTGGCCTGCTTTTTCTTTCTTGGCTGGGTTTCATGGTGGCATCATCAGCCATGGAGTTTGCTTTGAGATGTTTTCTTCCATTATACACCAGTGCTGCCTGATGAAATGTCAGCTAGCTGGAGAACTACCCTCTGCACCTCCTGAGGCTAGACCATGCAGGATGTGTTCGGAAATGTTCATGTGCACATTTATTTATTAAACTGTAGCCACCATTGTAAGCACACTTATATGTGTGTATTTATCTCTTTAGAATACTACACATTAAAAACTATTTTAAGAACAAAATAAATTCAAATAGAATTGTAGAACTTCTAATTAAAGTTAGTATATTTCAGTATGAAGACTATAGCATTAGTTCAGCAGCCCTTTTGGTATTTGTATGATTTGTTTTCTCCCTTTGCTTAATGAATTTGTGTTAAAGTCCTATTTTTTTTTCCTTTTTCCCCATTATTCATTTTTCAGCCCCAGGACATTTATATCGAGTGCTGTTCGAGACTTGCTCTGAAGACATTATTCACTTTCTCAAGAGCCTTTCTCTTACAGTACTTGTTTGAATGCTTCAGATGCATTAAAGAACTTATGTTTCAATCCCTTTGCACATGCTTTCATCCCTCTGTCATGTGAGGATTCCTCTTTGATCACAAATTATCTGTAGGATGCCAGGTATAAGACACAGCAATCAGCCATGTCAGAGGACTTCTCATATGGACCTGCAATGCATGTAGTCCTCGTCCAGGAGAGCTTGTTATACCTTGACTTATCCTTCTTTGCAAATTAAAAACCCAGCATTGAGTTGGCAGTCAGATCACCTCTTAATTCTTCTCCCTGATTTGCTGGGATAATTACTCCTAATGCAAGGTTTGCTTTTCAGGGCTGGATATTTTTTTGTGATTCTTCCATTCAGTATCTTCAAATGCTTCCCACCAGTGTTCTTCCCATGCTGTTTAGAGAGACAGTGGTAGCTTTTTGCTTCTGCTTGGCCTTCCCCAGAGCCTGACCTCTTCTTGATCCAAAGAGGCCCTCCCCTCCCCAAATATCAGAGAAACAACTGAAGATGGGGTAAAAGAAGGAAAATATTAGATAAACTTGGAATAAATTTACCCTATAAAGTATGCAATGAGCTTTTAAAGCCTTGAATAACAAAGAAAAATAAAGTATAAAGATAAAAAAGCAAAAACAGCACAAAGAAACTTCCTTAAGTATCCTTAAGCAGGGATGTGGTTGGAAATATTCTTTTTCTATTTCGATCCCAACTTGCTTGTTTTGGAAGTGATCCATTCTGGGTTGTTTAACACCAGCTGACTAAGCCACAGCCAACTCCCAAATCAGGGTTCAGAAACCACATCCAGCCAGCCTTATTCCCTGAGACTGCTTCTCTCCTGCACCTTTCCCACCAGTGACAGGGA